GTTTTAGAGCTTATCTACGTTGTCAAAATATCTTCCAGATACCTACTCTTTGGAAGAGATTTTTAATCATTCTCGAGCAACCTTTAGAGATTCTAAGACTTTTTTTTATTTCCAAAGCTCATAATGGAGTTTTTAAATCTTTTTTATCCTTACAGATTATTCAGAGTCTATTCATGCTTTTTTTAGTTAGTTTTAGAGATTTTCAAAAGATTTTTCAGATCTTCCTCAAAGATTCTTTAAACAATATTCTGACAAGTTCAGTAAATATTTTCCCAAGGTTCTTTAGTAATTCTTGACGTATTTATCAGGCATTCTTCACAGTCAATTTAAAGATGTTTTTGAGTTGGATAACTGAAAAACCATAAGAACACAATCTGTCCTCTTTTAACTTCAGAACGAAAAGAGCCGGCGATGTCAAACCTTCGCCAATCGATTTCTACGAGTTGTTCAAGGATCGGTGCTATTGAATATGATACCTGCGATACCTCTATGTGAAAAATGGTTTTGTTTTCTTGAAAATGAATGCTTCAAAGGCAAAGCAGTAGCGCAGTCAGGATGTCGCTGAGAAGGACGAGGAAAATTTTGAAGCATCACCGCAAGTATGGAGTATCCTCCAGCTGAATGGGGTTCGGGAAATCCCCTCGTAATTGCTGTGCAAATGTTTATTTCACCAAAATCAATTAAACACAAAATGAACACACAAAAGTATTAGTCCTTGGATGCGCAGTGCACCATTTTGGAATTGGTAAACTTGAAAATCTTCTCATCGTTTCGAAGGCAACCACAGGTAAATATTGCGCCAATGATCAATTTTAAATGGCAACATCTTACAATACTTTTTTTTGTTAAAGTCCTTGGGAAAACATCTTTGAATACGGTATGGATTTATTTAAAAAGGTTGTTATTGCTTTTCGACTAGATTGATTCAAATGTCTTTTTATGGCTATGTAGGTCAATGTGACCGATTTAAACAAACCGTAAACGAATTTGTTTACAAATACCTATTTAGGCAAAGATCAACGACAATAATTAACAAGAATAGTTTTGTGAATTAATAACACAAACTCATTTGCGTTACGTCCTTTGGGCCGGATTTTATTCTATCGGAAGTTGAAAAAATCGGTATTTGGGGGTTGGTGACACCGTTTTTTGAAAACCAAGCATATTAATTATTATAGAGACGCTGTGCATGTGCTGAGAAAAGTACATAACAGCGACAAATAATTCGAAGAATTCCGGACAGTGCAATATACCGTTGTTTTGTTCTTATCAACTATCATTACTTCTTTGTTGCGCAATAACAACACAATGAATTTAAAAATAGCTGTAATGGTTTAATCTAATAATATGTAACTTATCACACTAAACGTTGACCCGAAGGACTAACTGCTATTTAATGTATTTTTAACGATTTGTTATATACGATATTTTTAACACCGGAAATGATTATATCTTAGCTGTCCAATTTTTATACAATAATTTTTACCCACAATCGTCATGAAGCCTTCATTTTCATGCCTGTTTTATGTCAGGAAATTTTAGTTTCCATGACAGAGGCAGTAAAACTTTACCAGACTACTTTTCCTGCCGCCTGTCACTTTTCCGCCCGTACGTTAAGGTGACCAACTTTCCATGTTAAAAAATCGGGACACCACTGCGCCCCCCCCCCCCACTTGCTTACCCATCTAACTGACTGTTGGCTGTTGCACCATTGAGTAATCTTCAGTCTTCACTCAACGGTTGCACTACCAGAATGCATGACGCATACTATTTCAAAATTTTTAATACGTCAGCGCATCAGGTATATCTGTTATCTCGGTCTTGCTTTTCCAAGTGAATTGAATGTAACGTAACTGTAATCTGGGTACTGTTGGGTGCCGCATTGTTTGTTGTAGGTGGGTATACACATAAATCGGGACGATACAAAAATACTAGGGCAAAATCGGGATAAATCGGGACGCTTTATGAAATCGGGAGGGGCCATAAAAAATCTAAACATGTCCCGATCAAATCGGGACGGTTGGTCACCTTACCGTACGTGACATTGGTAATGTCTAGAGGACTCCTGTTTTTACTGACAGATTGACATTAATCAAAAGTTCTATATGAAAATTGTAGTTTTATATTAAAATACGATTTCTGGATAAATTTAATACAAAACTCGTCAGTAGTTATTTCTGATATTTGCAGAATTCTAAAGATTTTGACGGAGAAAGCCGAATACTTGTTTAGAATCTGCACAATATCCCCCTGACATCCCATGCTTCCTGGGTCATATTGGAAAATATCGATGTTTCATCATTCATTCTGTTTCTCATTATGAGGGTGTATGCAAATTTTAAACTTCAAAATTGAAATGATTGGGTCGAAACCAAATTTGACTACCCTAATGTAGCGGTTGATCCATCGTCTCGTATTTGGGATGTAGTTAATTGAGATTAGATTTGTCTTTCCCAAATTTAATATAATTTCTGCAGAACTACGCTACCTATGGTGCAAACGAGTCGCCAGTCGGTGTATCTACCTGGTAGGTAGATTTCTATCCTAAACTTTCTATCCTAAACTCGAAAAACTGAAATTCACTATCATTTTTTGTAACAAGGATTAGAAGCAAGCGCATTTTATTAGTTTTTGAGGAAACTCAAATAAATAAAAAGAAATGGTAAAATTAGCGAAGAAGTAGAAATGTATTTGCAAGAATGATTGCATAAAACGAAATCTGTTCTAGCGTTCTATTCAAACATTTTCATTATTTTAACGTCTTTAAAAGTAAGTTCTAGTTATTTATTCAGCTTTCATCTTTGCCTTTGTTAATCTGTATTCCTTTTCAGTTAGTCTTCAGATATACCTTATTGCTAAATATTTTTCTTCATAATTGAATACAAACTTCATTATCCGCTCTAAAGGATTAACTAAACCTAAAGGATTTTACAAAAATGCTATTGGTATTATTCTTACAGATGGTAATACAGTTATGCCAAAGGGTATCATTAATTATAAAGTTTTCTCATTTGTTTAACTTTGCGTAGACGGCGAGACTGAAAAAAATTACTTCGAGTAAATACCGCGTCCATATTTTGCAATTGATTAGATTTATACATTCGTTAAACAAATATTTAAAGCTACGTGTTTGGATTACATTACTCTTAATTACTCGTAATTAATGCTCTTATTCATATGATTCAATTATTTATCATTTTCAGTCACATGCTTTGGTACTGTAAATAACTTATTTTATGGAAACCTTAGGGAATTAAATTGAATTTAATCTTGAATAATGGCCATTGTAAATTATACGTGTAGGTACATGTTATCTACAGAGATCCGAGGCTTTTTTTTAAATTTTTTACTATGAAAGAAACGGTACAAAGCTTCAAAAAATTTATTTCACTGCGAAACTACCATTTAAACATTTAGTTCTGAGTTTCTCCAGATGTTTCATTCCGTCCAAAAAAAATAATACTTTGTGTACCAAGGCGGGAAAGTGGATGTTTTCCGGGGTCGAAGGAAGATATGGTCAGGCGAGGCGAAACGGAAGCGAAACTTTCGTGCCGTGGTGCACACAATAGTTTTTATTGTATACACTTACACTTAAAATGATGCCCGTATGCTTAGATCATATATGTACCTATACAGGGTGTTACACGACCGTTCGAAAAAAAAAAATCGGGTTGTAGAGGGCATCAAAACAAGCACACAAGCACAAACGTGTTTCGTTTGGGAGCCACCCCCCAAAGAGTGTTGAAATCTGCATTTCTTCTTTAATTTTTTTCTCAGCAACCATAAGAGTTACAAAGTCGGGTGCCATGTCTTTGAATAGGTTTTTGGGTATGCTCTTTCCGATTTTGCAATTTTTTTTTCAAAATTCCTACCCCTAAAGGGCGCACCCC